CTGAGAATTTCAGTCATGATTCTCATAAATGTGGATGGCACATTACACAGCCCGAAGGGCATTACCTTCCACTCGTAGAGGCCTTGGGGAGTTTTAAATGCAGTTTTCCACTCATCCCCTGCCCGAATCCGTATCTGGTGATAACCGCTCCTCAAGTCTATTTTTGAGAAAATGGACGAACCAGTTAGTTGATCTATCAGCTCCTCAATGTGTGGTATAGGGAATTGATACTTGACTGTTATTTCATTAATGGCCCTGCTATCGATACACATCCGCCAGCTACCGTCTTTCTTCAGAACAAGTAATGCGGGGACTGCACAGGGGCTCAAGCTTGTTTGAATCAATTGTTTTCCAGCAATTTATCAACTATTTCCTGTAAAATTCCTTGCTCCTTCGGATTCAACCTGTAGTGCGGTAAGTTTGGTAATGATGAACCCGGAATGAAATCTATCTGGTGTTGAATTTCGCAGAGAGGAGGAAACTCAGACGGTAGTTCAGACGGCATGATGCAGATGAATTCTTCCAATAATTCCTGGACATCTTTCTGTAAAATTGTTTGAGTGCTATTCTCATTTGGTTCGGTCAGAAACAGAGCATACATTGGGGACGGTTCATGCCAGCAATGTAAGAGAGTAGGTCATGTCACCAAGTGCATTGCAACCGGCTGTGCCGCTTTTGCCTTCTGCAATTGTTTTTCACTGCTGCCTGGTAGTAGTCGAAGGCGTCTCCCCTTCCAATCGAATGAATACACATTCGCCCGGCCGTCATAAGTTGCGCCAACGTCATATTGCCACGGTCGACCAAGGATCAAATGGCAGATGTCCATTTCAAGAACGTCGCATAAAACTTCACAAACATAATGTTTGCCCAATGAAAAAGTAACACGACAAGAATCGTTGACGCTGATCTCCATACCTTTGCGAACCCAGCTTATTTTATATGGACTTGGATGCTTTGTAGGTATTTTAATTGCAAGCTTTGAACTACTGATCGAGAAATGACATTCTCGGTGCAACCACTGTCGATCAACAGATCACATACCTTGCCATTTATGGTACATCGAGTTCTGAAAATGGCATGCCGCTGGGAATTAGGACTTTGCCGCGGAGCTAGCAGCAATTTTTCTAATACACAAACTAACGATTCGCCCTCATCCGCCGCAATGTTTTCAATGTCCTCTTCTCCATTGAGCCCCTCATCTTCGGTTTCACCCACATCCTCACCTTCTGCTAGATGGACTTGCTGCCGCTGAGGACATTCATTCGACTTGTGGCCTGGTTGGAAACAACGGAAGCACTTGAGTGTAGATGATTTAACATACGGATTTTCTTTGGGCTGAAATCTGGGTTTCGGTTGATTCTTGGTCTCTGTAACATTGGCGGGCAGAGGAGTCACTACTGAGTGCGATTTTCCCATTGGCGGTATGTTGCCCTTATTGCTGCTGAAGGAAAATTCTTGCCATTGCTTGCGCGGATGGGAGTTTTTTGACTGTCTATTCTGTTGTATTTCTGCCTTCATAGCGAAATTTACTGCTTGTGAAATTGACCATACTGAATTTAGCTCCAACCGATCTTGTATGCTCTCCTTGAGTCCTCCGATGTATCGAGCAATCAATTGGTTATTTGATTCATTAAGGTTGTTTCTAGCACTCAACCTATTGAATTCTTCGGTATACTCACTAACCGACCTCGTTCCTTGCACACAGTGCTGATATTTCATATAAAGGATCTGTTCAAAATCTGTCGGTAGGAATTGTGTCTGTAGCAACTGCTTCATACGGTTCCAGCTACGAACTCGCCCCTTGCCATTTCTCTGCCTCATATTCAAGACTTGTTCCCACCACGCACTAGCACTACCTTTCAATCGACATGCCATGTATTTCACCTGTTTAACGGGATCAATCTCCATATAATCAAAAAAATTCTCGACGGCCCTCTCCCAGTCAAGATAATCTTTGATGTGCAGCCGGCCGTCAAAAAATGGAATATTCAATTTGATCTTAAAGTCACCTGGGTGGTTGCAGTGTTGAGCAACTCGGCGTGGTCCCTGATAATTCTGTAAGCACCCGCTGCCTCCGTCTTCATCGCTGGATTCGATTGCACCATTACCCTGTAGTTCCTGTGGCTCCTCATCGGAATCGGACATTTCCCGTTCTGCCTCCCGCCATTGGCGCAGGTGACAATCATCGACCGTCCTACGCCTATTAATTTGTCGATTCGCTGGTACCTCCTCTCGCTGCATTTGCCTCTGAGGTAGTCGTTGTCTAATGAGATTAAACTCGCGACGAACGTCTACAGTCAGCCTTTGGATCTCCGTCGCTAGATCCTCAAGCCGGCGATTAACTGTATCGTGGTTTGCCCACAAAGCTTCGATGCTCCGACCCCCCTCCGTGGCCGGTTCCTTGCCTCGATCCGCCATCTTCTTCACTAGTAGCTCTGATACCAACCTAATGCAATCCTTTGTACGGATCAAACTGCTACAGGACCTGAAAGAGAGGCAGCAAAGAGAACAAAAACAAAACTCCGGTTCTGTGAAGAAGAAACTGTATTTCTGTATTCAGAACAAAATAAAATTGTCTACTGTAATTCTCCTCTCCTTCTCCTATATGTATTCTACTTCGTTCTATAACAGCAAAAAGAAACTATTATGTGTAATAGTACGGCTAAACAGAAAATAGTAAAAAGGGTAGTGGAGAGCGAGCTGTTAGTTAGGAAACGGTGTGATACTCCCCTCGGTAACGTGTACCACATCAATACGTGATTTCAAATCAATTGGATGTATGAACTACATGTTATGAATTTTTTTATGTTGATTGGTCACTATGGACATACGAAGTTAGGGTTTTGTGGAAGGGTTATGACTCTATCTTTGTGTGAGTTTAACTTAGAGAAAATTTTAAAAAGTGATAAGCATGCCAACAAAAAAAGTTTATAAAGGGAGAGAGAGATATAGGCTTCTCAAATTTTAATTATGGTTTATTCTTCAAAATGAGAAAAAAAAAATCTCATTATTAATATAAAATCATCATGACCAGTTGCTCAAGACTATAATAATTAGCACTAATATATAAAATGAACCTACAATGACTTTAGATGTTCTATACTATATATTGTCGGCTTTAACAACAATTTCATCCACAATTAGCTACAAATATAACATAAAAATTAGTGATAAATTATAGGGTTTTCATATATATATATAATTTTTAACCTAAAGTCATCATTTATAGGCTTCTCTTTTATTTTATGTAACTTGATACATCATATTAACCTAGGCGAGAAAACTTGTTTTGAAAAGATAAATTATGACGTATTATTACGTGCATAAATCAGGTGTAGTTTGTGTCCAGACTCCAATCAAAACTAGACATCACCTGTACATAGCTTGTGTACAGACGACATGACCAATTTCGATTGAAGTTCAGATGCATTTGCAATTTAATCTTGGTTGCTTAAACAATTTTTTATTTGCAGAGTTATAGCATAGCATACTTGTTGCCATCTTACTTTAGGATTGGAGCACTACCTCTTATCTTAAAACCCTAAGATAATAGGAAAGACACATCATCAACTAGGAACAACACACGCTTCTGAATTCGAGTTAGTCTTAACCTCAGTAGGGCTTCATCATGCCAAATAATTTCTCTTAACCTTACTTCTAATAAAGTCCCACACATAATAAGATGAAACAATAAAGTAATAATAATATTTATATATTGAGTGAGTTAGGTTGTAATTGAGTTAAGTCGTCTTGAGAATCGATTTGGACTTGGCTCGATAAATGACTCAGATGTTGACTTTGATGACCTAACAAGTCAAATTTGAATCAACCCAGCTTGACTCGTTAAAGCATGAACTGACTTATTTAAAAAAATTGTTAACATAAAATATGTTAAACATATATTAACATTTAGAAATTTGAGAGAAAAGTTGTTGAAATATTTAAAAGTTATATATAACTTCCTTAAATCATGTGGTTTTTTATTATTGCTCGTCTAATTTCTCATTCTTTTTAATATTTTATTATAACAACAATTTGAGTCAAAAAAAAAATTTTTTTGAACGAGTTGCCTCATGAGCTAACTCGAACTCATATAATTGAGCTCTAGCTCAAGCTTGAAAACTTATTTATTTAATTAATCTCATGTTCGAACACTGGGTCTCGAATTCAACTCGACTCATTTACAATCTTAAATTTGACGACGACAACAACAACAATAAGTCTTTATATGACTATTTACAAGAAAATTTTACTAAGTTATGATTTAGTAAACCATGGGAATATTTTGTGAACAACCACGAGAGAAGAGTGCTTGCCATGGAATTAGTACTTTTCACTCATCCCATTTATACAAATAAAAAAAATATCATATTAAAAAGTTTTAATCACATAAATTTTTGATTTAATGGATTAATAAAAATATTTAAATTAAAAAATATGATATTTTTTATTTTGATTGGTCACACTTAAGAGAGTGGACTTTCTTTTTTTTTTTAATTTTAAAAAAATATCAATTCACAATGAATTAGATTTGTTTATATTAATTTTAGTCAAATTATATCTAAGGTTTTTACAATAAAAGTAATTGAAGATATAAAATAATTTTCAAGAACAATATAAAATATATCATTTTTAATACTTTCCAGTCAAGCTATTGCCAGATTGCATGCATAAAAACGGAGATTTACGTTACGTAGTCGACAATCAGCGTAAAACTTGTTCAACAATTATGGCATGATTTTGTTAATCAAATCCGAGTTATAAATATTTCAAATGTGTAATGATTTAAGATTCAAATAAGTTTATACCTAACTTTTTTTTTTTTTACATTCAAATTTGATGTAGACATGTGATTTTTTTATTTTTTTGTTCAGCTATGTAAATTATAAATTAAAAAAAAAATTGCATAACTTTTTTATTGTGTAGCATTATTCCCAAAAGATATTAGCTATGTATGGATTGATTGTATTTAACCTCATTAGCCTAGTTGTTATCAGACCTTTAGAGCCACTTTGAAAAGATAGACTAATAAGTGTTGAATCTCAGCCCCATCCCCTGCAATCTCGGCCGTCTCTCTGGGACTCAGTGCTCCTTCCTTCTTCCTAAATCCTAATCTGCTTTTGCCCAATTCAGTTCAACACCCTTCACTCATGGCTTCCTCTTCTTCCCTTCTTCAGCCTTTCTAAACGCCGAACAGTAAATTAACCTGCTAAAGATTGTTTTTTTTTTTACTTCTTATAATCAACAGTGGTGAAAGTGGTCATCCTCTACCTCGTTCACTTCTTCTAATCTCGCCTGACCCAATCTAATCCACTCATCCTGTAAAAAATCCAGTTGAACCTCATCAAAGGTTCTTCCTTTCTCCATCTAAATACCAAAAACGCCACCTTTGGTCCTCTACCGTCATGGATCCCAACAAAGGTTCTTCCAAGATTCCACCGGAGCCGCCCAAGTTTCTCCAGAACGCAGACAAGAGAGATCCCTCCAGAGATAGCAGAGACCTCCAAGTGCTCGTTTCTTCCACTTCTTCCGGAGCAGAGAGAGAGCTTCCCCTTGTAGCCGCTACTTCTACTAGCACAGCAGAGAAAGACGATCAAAGGAGGCAGCTTGCGCCCAAGAGAAGCTCGAACAAGGATCGGCACACTAAAGTCGATGGGCGCGGGCGAAGAATCCGGATGCCAGCTCTCTGTGCTGCTCGAATCTTTCAACTGACTCGCGAGCTCGGTCACAAGTCCGATGGCGAGACTATCCAGTGGCTTCTGCAGCAGGCGGAGCCTTCTATCATCGCGGCCACCGGCTCCGGTACCATCCCGGCCTCCGCGCTCACCTCCGCCCCTTCTTCCATTTCCCACACCAAGTTCAACGAGCCCCCGCCTTCTGCCATGGCCACCTCTTCAAGACCTAATTGGGCAACTGGCCTCTGGCCGCCGCCGCTAGGCAGCTTCGCCGGCTCTGGATTCCTCCCCCAAACGAGCAATCTCGGCGGCGAAGGGTCTGCTGGAGGGTTTATGCAGAGGATTGGTTTGCCGGGGCTCGAGCTGCCGGGTGCCGGGATAGGCCAGATGAGCTTTGCTTCAATGCTAGGTGGACATGGGCAGCAGATGCCTGGGCTTGAGCTAGGACTTTCGCAAGATGGGCATATTGGAGTATTAAACCCCCAAGTTTTGAGCCAGTTCTATCAGCAGATGGGGCAGGGGAGAGGAGGAGGAACTGAGCACTTGCAGCATCATCTTCATCAACATCAGCAGACTCACCAGAGCCAGGGGTCTCTGGAGAAAGATGATTCTGAAGGATCAAGTCAGTAGATAATAGTGATGGTTAAAAAGGAGTTTCTTTGGTGGAAATTTGAGTCAAAAGATGAGGAATTTTTCTGTTCTGAGTGCTATAGTGTAATGATCTTGGAGGAGGAAAGGCTAGATAATGCATTTGGTTTTTTGTGGTATTTTGTTAGAGTTTTCTCCTTTCTCCTAAGACATTCTGTATGGATTCTTGGCGTTTTCGCTTTCTGGTAAATCCCTTTCTTCTTATAATCTGAGATATGGTACTTATTCCTTTGTGAGAGTGCTAATTGATTTTTGTTTTGCTGAATTTGGTCTGCAGGTGTAGATTGAATCAAGCTGAAGCCTTGTGATGGAAGTATATATATTGTTTACTCTGAGGTTTGTAGATATAGAGTTTGAGCCATCATCTATTTTTTCTCTTTTTTTTTTTTTTTTTTTTTGTTTTTTTTTTTTTTGGATTTTGGATTTTTTTTTTTTTTTTTTTTTTTTTTTTTTTTTTGGTTTTTAGATTTGATTGGAATTGGAATTTTCTTGTTTTTTTTGTTAAGAATAAATCACAGTGTTTTGTGTTAATTTAATGTGATTCTTTCAATGATGGGGCTGCTTATGTTTCCAGATTGTGCCTTTTGAATTAAAGTGGCAAAGAAATTATGCTTTCCTATGGTTTCTTTCACCTTTGTTTGTTTGATAAATGCTAATATAATGCTTTCAGCTTTGTTTTAACCTTATGAAGTTTTTGTTGCATTTGCAAGCCTATAATTTTATTTATCTGTAACAAATAGCTGTTTGCAAAAATATTCTCATAGGACAATCATCATCATTGGCGTCGCTAACCTAACTGCTGAAATTTCTTGTACAATCATTACTCTAATGCTTGCACTTTTCTATGGTTGAAGCTCCTAGTAATAACTTACCAAACCTTGAGGTTGTAGGTTCTATAGGAAACAAAGTAAAATGATAAATATAAAGATCACAGTGCAAAAAACAAAGATTTTATGTGGTTCGATGATCCATCAATGGAGAAAAATGATTCATTTAGCCGACCCCACGTAGTGGGACAAAGGCTTGATGTTGTTGTTGTTGTTGTTGTTGATGGTGATCCATCATTGCCTGGAGCTTCACAATGTGCAGTATATTGCTCATCCGACAATTATATAAGAGATGCTCCTTGTAGACAACCTATAGAAGAGTAAAATTGAATATTTACTTTGTAAATATTACTGTAGAATATATTACACAATATTTCACATAATTAAAATATTTTATAGGGAAAGAATCTTTAGTAGGGAATGAGTCTTCAGTAGGAATTTGTTACGAAACCAACCAAACCGGCCTAGGAGGGGCCGGTCCAGTTCTACAAGAGGCAGGCTAAGCCGCCTCCCTGATGTGTTTTCCACCCAGCTTGTGGGCCCCCCTTGAAGCGACAATAGGAGAGAGGGGAAGGAATTTTGAAATTAGTTTATATTAGGGAAGTGGATTTAATTAATTAAAAGATTTGATATCTTTTGTATTAATTAAATAATATCTTATCTTAGGAAGTTTTTAAGGAGGTGGAGAGGGCTATTTAAAAGGCATGAAGGGGCTAAGGTAGATATGCTTAGATTTGAGTTTCTCTTGGAGTCTTTTGAGGTTTGAGGGCTTTAGACCTTGCATCTAGAGATTGGGAGAGAATGATCCTCCTCTCGAATAGAGGATCACTTGTATCCTGTTTTGTGTTAGTTTTGTTTTATTTCCCTTGTTGCAATCCACTGTTTTGGGGCTGATTTCGCCCAGATTTTGCTTTATTCCTATTGTTTTTCTTGCAATTAGTAGTAGGTGTGCTTGCGAACTTAAGTATTCCCTTAGGAGGCAGGCTAAGCCGCCTCCTTGATGTGTTTTCCACCCAACTTGTGGGCCCCCCTTGAGGCGACAATAGGAGAGAGGGGAAGGAATTTTGAAATTAGTTTATATTAGGGAAGTGGATTTAATTAATTAAAAGATTTGATATCTTTTGTATTAATTAAATAATATCTTATATTAGAAAGTTTTTAAGGAGGTGGAGTTTAAGGAGGTGGAGAGGGCTATTTAAAAGGCATGAAGGGGCTAAGGTAGATATGCTTAGATTTGAGTTTCTCTTGGAGTCTTTTGAGGTTTGAGGGCTCTAGACCTTGCGTCTCGAGATTGGGAGAAAACGATCCTCCTCTCGAATAGAGGATCACTTGTATCTTGTTTTGTGTTAGTTTTGTTTTATTTCCCTTGTTGCAATCCACTGTTTTGGGGCTGATTTCGCCCAGATTTTGCTTTATTCATGTTGTATTTCTTCCAATTAGTGGTAGGTGTGCTTGCGAACTTAAGTATTCCCTTAGGGTTACTTGCAAACTCAAGTATTTCCTATCAGAATCAAGATCCATAAACCAATAATCTCAATTGGATACTAATCATCTAATTGAGAACCGACTCTCCTGTAATTCTCTATTTTGTAACCTTGAAACTAGCTACAATGCTTCCTTAACTATCAACTCTCTTATTGGCAAGGGATACCAATAACCCTCCTAATTGTTCTTTGAAAATCATGTCATCTTGATAATGTGTCAATTTAAGTTTTGTGGGTTTTTGTTTAAGATATATGATCTTTATCTATTAGATGAAATCCAAAGAAGACTTTGGACTCACCTAGGAGGTGAAGTTCGAAGTATTGGGCTTACAATACCATTTGGTTTGTCCATAGCAGTTGTCTCACAAATTATTGGGTAATCCCATATGATTGAGTCTTACAATACCGTTCGATAATGTATATTAGGAATTCGGGCATACAATTGCATTTGGTATTGCCTATAGGTTTGGAACTTACAATACCTTTTGGTTCTTCCCATACATAATTTGGGGTTACAATACCATTTGCTAATGCCAATAAGATTGTGGCTTATAATAGCATTTGGTGGTAATGCATAGATTGAGGCTTACAATACCATATGATAATGCTCACAAGGAATTAGAGCTTACAATACCATTTAGCAATGTTCATGCATTTGAGGATAAGTTGTGTAATTTATGCAGAACCTCATTGTCTAGACTCATATGTTATGTGATTTATAAGTTATGGTTTCGTTTGGGATGACTTTCTTACAACTTCTTAAAGTAGCTTTTTAGTGCAAAATTTTTAATATTTGTACTAGAAAGCTGCTTTAAGAAGAAGTAAGAAAGCTATCACAAACGAAGCCTATATGCTGACTCGGACTTGCATATAGTATTTATCAGCCAGGTTGTTATTGTTTAGTTCTCTTTCATGCTAATTGCTTGTCCAGTTCCCTTTGTACTTATACTTGGACCATAAGAAGATGACAGATAAATTAGTTTATTTGAAAAGGTGTCTTAGAGATAAGTCATATAGATATTTTAAATTTTGCAAAATATTCAAATTTTAGTTGGCTCGTTTTATGTTTGTAGTAAATTTATACCTGAAAAGAGCCCAATCATTGATTAGTAGTTTCAAGCCACATTGCAACAAACAATCAAAGAAAGTAAGCAAACAAAGTAAAAGCAATCATCACTTTCTCACTGTCACTCAATGGCAGGTGCAACTTTATGAAAATACAACCTAAAAAGAAAACTTGAACAAACATGCAGCTGACCTCTGCTTAAATATAATCTTGTTATAGATCTATTTACAAATTTTTATGTAAACTGTCTTCAACGGCTCTTTGGCGTTGCCTTCTTAGCTCCCGGGCTCCTTGACTCCTTGACTCCTTGTACATTGTACATTGTATATGTTTTACATGACTTCCCCGTGCTACTAGAAAAGACATGGGAAAAAGGAAAATTACAACATTGCATTGATTGAATACATACGAGTTTTCTCTATTTTTTGGCATAACATTGTTTATAGCACTGCAATTTAGCAGTTAGTGTTGTTAAAGAATGAGCAACATTCCATACAATTTATTACCAAACAATATGCTAGCTCATCGTCAATAAATCATAAGAGGAGCGAATATCACATATCATCATATAGACCTATGGATGCCTATTAGGAATCATAGATGCAAAGCTTTAAAAAAATTAAAAAAATAAATAAAAAAATAAAAAAAAAAAGATGCAAAGCTAAGAGACGTGTGGGGTTTTTGATTGTAGGATCTTGGATGAGAGGAAGAAGCTCTTCCTCTTGAGCTTCTTGAATGAGGGGAGAGAGAGGGGAGGGGAGAGACAGAGTTGAAATCAGAAAATGATTTATTGCTTAATAGCTTCTCACTTTATTCCTATTACAGTCATGTCTTATTTAAAGACTTCTAATGGCAGCACAAAGAGCTATACAATAAATTAATCAAAGTATTACAATAGGTTACAAAAGAACCTGATTAAATAAAGTACAATTAGTAAATCTTGGACCAATCACAACAAACTCCACCTTGGTCATAAATTTACAAAACATTTGAGTCACTCCATATGTCGTCATCTGCTACCTCAATTGTGTTGCCGTCGTCCTTGGGCCTAACTCCTTTCCACTTCAGCAGATCCGAGCAATTTCTTTTGAAATGCCCTTCCTTGTGGCAGTGAAAGCATCTCTTATTGAATTTGCATCTTCCCTTTTTTACTAGAATGTTGCCAACACTTTCATCTTTGTCCTCATTCCTACGCTGCAATCGTTTGGACACCAAGACCGACTTCACCTCAGTCATGGTCAACATCTGTTTACCATATAGTAGTGTGTCCACTATATTTTCATATGACTTTGGCAAAGAACTTAGGAGGATAATACCCTAATCTTCATCCTCAATTCTTACATCTACATTCTTAAGATCAATGATAAGTTTGTTAAATTCATCAATGTGTTCTTTCAAGTCTTTTCCTTCATCCACATGCAATGTGTATAGAGCTTTCTTTAGATGTAACTGGTTGGCCAACAATTTTTTCAAGTATAATGACTCCAATTTCTCCCAGACTTCTATGGCAGAACATTTTTCAGTTACTTCCCTCAAAATTTCATGACCAAGTGATAACAATATTACGCTATGAGCCTTTAATTATATTTCCCTTGACCTATCAGTTACGAAAGCAAGATTTTTTTTAAACTTGCCTTGGAAATTCCTTGATGAACAAGTAGGGCCTTCATTTTGATTCTCCATAATCCGAAGTCATTTTTGCATGTGAATTTGTCGATTTCAAATTTTTGAATCAACATGGTCAAGAATTGTAGCAAGAACTCTGTCTTCCATCCAAATCCAACTATAAGAACTACACCGGAGTTGAAAAACTGCAGCCCCACACTTATTTACCCCTACAACCTTTGTCTGCATGACTCAGGCTCAATCGTTCGCTCCACCTTATGAGAACAAACTGAGCCCGTGCTCAATTGCCAAGTGCGTCCTCCTTGTGCACATCTATGATCAGCCCTGTGCGTTCCCGCTCATGCACTCTTTGTTCACGACCTGCGGCTTCTCTCGCGGCACTACATCCCATGCGGCCAACCCCTGCCGCACCTAGCTA